ATTAATAAATGACAATAAAATGAATATACTTTACCTTATTTTATTTCCAATATATGTTTTTTTTGTATAATTTTTTTTTATTTGAAAAGTGTCCGCATAATTTTGATCAGCACCCACCTGTACAGTGTGACTATATACAGGTCTGACTGTAATTGCTTCTCGAAGACAAAGATATATTGTATGAATTCTCTTAGCCACTTCTTTAACCAATCGTGATTTTCCATAACCAGAACTTTGAAATATTGTATTATATGTAACATAATTACGAGTATTATCCTTTCAAGTCTTGTGCTTACGGTTTAGATAAACCAGAAATTTATCTACCATTCATTGTTATCCACATAATCTACATTAAATGCTTTTTCGAGATTTTTCTCTTTGCATTCCAGATCCAGTATCCATGAAATTTGGAGCAGCAAAAATTTTGAGGGTACCGGATCCTTGTGCAGTCTCTAGGTGTTGTAAAACTTGATTATCATCTCCCAGGAAGATGGTATTTTCTGTAACAAAAAAGTGCTAAGCATCTCAAAAGCTCTAATGTGGTTGGAAATTTCTCTATTGATTCTGCACGTTGATTAGCGAAATAATAAAATTCTTTATTATGTATTTCTACATTTAAGTTTATAGTAGATACTTTGCACATTTTCAAAATCAAGAAATAAATATGTTAGCAAAAGTACCAGAAATGAATTAATTACATAAATTCAGTTGTATATTTTACTTACCGACTACAGCATGCAATGCTTGATCTTCCGTGTTGTATAAATCAGAGATAGGAGTTTTCGAACCAAGACTTTCTTCTCCCCGCGACGAAGGGTAATGACTTTATCTGATATTAATGGCTTTTATACCGTAAGCTGTGGAAAGCTTTCGGTTGAAGTCTACGAGTATGAATTCTAAAAAGCCTTCAGACATTTTTGTTTATTTTATTTTTTTTAAGAGAATAAAAGGAGTTCAAAATGTATGTTTTTCCTTTTTCAATTTAAATTTAATTTGCTCTATCAAATCAGCCACATTAGATACTTCCATTCCTTCCAAGATATTTCGTCTGAAAGTGATGATTTGATCATTGTAACGGACATGTATTTCATTAGAATAATGTTTCGGGCTAAACCCCTGAGCTCTGGCCCAAACTTTTTTAACTTTTAACTTTACTAAATAAATTTTGATTTATTTTTATATAAATAAGTGTGGCTAAACTTAACAAATAAATTACAAGTTTCGCCTGTGAAAAAAGTCCCTCTACATTTCGCCTTTAAGTTACGCCATTTGTCCTAAACTGCCCAAACTCAAAATATTTCCAAATTTGGGTTTCGCCCGAAACATTACATTAGAAGGTGCTTGAGCTATTTGACAATTTCAACGCGGCTAGCTCTTCTGTATCTTTGATCAGTGATGTGGTGGGACAGCGTCCCACAAGATTTTTAATGTCCCAGACTGTCACAGCTGGGATGTCCCAGGCTGTCCCGTCCAAGATAATTGTCCCAGTAATTACTAATTATTCAAAATTACAATATATATATATATTCTAAAATGTCCCAAACTTCATAAAGTCTTTGTCCAAAGACTTGGACTGTCCCAGACTGTCCCATCCAAGGACATGTCCCGTATCAGTCACAACACTGTCTCTGATTATCTAATGTGGTCGTTAACGAAATTTAGAAACTCAATAAATGAATAAAGCTATGTATTTGTTGTGTTTCTATACTGCAATGACACAAGAAAATAAGCAATAAGTAAAATTAGAACAGGACATACCCGGACGTGTCACTTGGACTTGATTGGTTCGACCGATATTGAACGTACTAACTACTGTCTTAAAGTCTCTATTGCAATAATTTGAAAATAATCAGCGTCCAGAGTAGTAGTATTCAGTTTCAGATTCCTCCTTCAGGAATTTCAAGATTTCTTTCGACTTTATTACTTCGCATAAGTTAATAAGTCCCCGCCTGAAAGTTTTGTGACCATGTTTGCAGCACGTTTGTCAAACTTATACCATTTTTAGGTTAACGCTCATTTTGTTAAAGAGGATTAACACAGTGTTGGGTTTTGGACACATTTTTGATTTTAAATATTTTGGACAAGATTTTGGACAGAAAGGTTTACTGTCGCGTTTTTATATAGACAGCAGATCAGAGGCGCAGTGTAATTTAATGCCGGATTATGATTGTGGCGATGGGATATTATGGTTTGATATCACATGTCCTAAATAATTTAGATATTAAACCAAATTTATTTTACCCGTTGTACCCGCGTTTCACAGAAGAATAGCCCATCTGTGATAAATCGAGCAAGCCAATCGACCGCGATTGAAAAATCACTGTCAACCAGATGATATGTAATGATGAACAGGAATGAATTTGCTTTTTCGGTTAATATTTTCTATTTTTGTATGGATTCTCTTTTTTTTTTTTTTAAAAAAAAAAAAATATATATTTATATATAAGTCTGAAAAGAACTCTTCAGATATGGTTTCTTAAACATAGTTTTTTCATTTCTTTTAAGCAATTAAATTAATCGCTTAAATTTTATAATAAATTTAATTTGACGGTTTAAAATAACTGTCTTGAAATTCGCAACTTAGTTATGAGTAGTCAAGGACAAACTACCACTAATGCTACTTCTGAAAAAGGTCAACGTCTTGCCAATGCTACTTATCCGGCATTTAAACGGGACAGACTACCTACGTTAAATGAGGTTCTTACTCGTAAAACTGCACCTCCAGTATGTCTATATAATTTCTACCTTTATATGAGAGATACAGAAAAGGCTTCTGATTATTTGGACTTTTATCTTGATGTATTAGAACATGAGGTATTATGTAAAGCTTATGTAAAAGACCTTAAAAAACTTGGATTGGATGTGAACATTGAATATCCTGAATATGAAAGATTTAGACCGGGAAATAATAAATCTGAAAAGGATAATTTAAAGTTTAGTACGACTGCTAGTGGAGATGGGATTCATAGAAATTTGAGCTCTTCATCTCGTGGTTCGGTTAATACTTTTAATGTTGATCCTCCTTCTCGCCCAGATTCACCTTCAAGTTCACATATAATTGAGATTTCAAATGAAAGGAATGATTATAGACAGAGAAATTTAGCGCATCGAGATTCTGTTCGCTCCACCAGAACAAATACAACGGGAAATTTCTCATTGTATAATCGTGAGAGACCATTTGAGAGAAATGATCTTCGTGTATCGGCGGAACGTATTTATTTTAGATATATTTTTGGAGACTCGGAAAAAAAAATCATACTAACGAGTCATGTTCGTGAGAAGATTGCTCATGCTATCGAAGACGAGAGCGATACTCAACATAAAAGGGATGACCCTTGGATATATCATGAAGCGAAAAAAGAAATTTATAGTTTAATGGAGCAAGAGTATTTCCCCGGATTTTTAAAAGCTAGGGCTTTCGGAAATATGCATGACCGACACATTATGATTAGATTAGGAATAGGTTTATTGTTTTTGTTTATTGGATTTACCGTTGCATTATGTTTAATTTTTTTGGATAACAAGCCGTGGACTTTACGATTATGGGTATGCATTTTTAACATTTCAATAATGATTTCGTTCACTAACCTCGGTTTACTTATCTTTTCTTTAACCTTTAGAGCTTTATTCCAATATTTTTTGGTGTTAGTAATTTATTTGCTTTTGTGTCGAAGTTTAGTTCTCTTTTCGCCTTATTGAAAATAAGGTAAAAATTTGGTATTTATATTTTCTAGCGTTAATTAATACAAGATACTCATAACTTTTTATTTTTATTATTATAAAGTGAATCAAAATTTTTTCACTTCCAACGTGTAATGGAGCCATACATATATACGTTACATAAAAAAAAAGGTTTAAGAGTATTTTTACTAAGTACACTAGTTTCTATAATTGTAATGATAATTTTTGCAGCTGTTCCCGGACATCGATTATAAGGATAGAATAGATTTGTAAATATGGACTGGGTGGGGAATAAAAAAAAAAAAAAAAAAAAAAAAAATATTTTTACTGATAATAAAATTTCTGAATTAGATAGCAACAGAATGGACTTTGTAAAATTATACTTAAAATAATATATATGTATAAATCTTTAAAATTATATTTGATTCTAATTGAACAAGATTACAGATGATCTATGTATGTTATTCTGATAATTTAGGCCATTAATTTCATCCACAGTTAATTTTAACCTTTCCTTTTTGGAACCTTTAAAATTTTTTTAATTAAGGTTCCCAGCTAATCTAATAAATTATTAAAGTATTTATTTATTTCCTTGAACTAATCTAACTATGAATCCCGATGTCGAAAACGAAGATAGCTTGTATCCTATTGCCGTCTTACTGGACGAGTTAAGGGCTGACGATGTTAATTTTCGTTTAAACGCCATCAGACGTCTTTCAACCATTGCTTTAGCACTAGGTGTTCAAAGAACTCGGGATGAGCTTATACCGTTCCTTGATGGTGAGTGAGCGCAATTTGCTAATTCTACCTTCTGCATTTTAAGAGATAAAGTGTTCGTTTATTTAAAAACTATAAAGTTGTTTTAATAAACCATTCGCGCAGTTTTGATTGGATTGAATTAATATAAACTTCCCAAAGAATGTCCAAATTTATTAAACTGATAATTAACTATATCGACCGATTAATCATGCATTCTCTTAGAATCTATCGATGATGAAGACGAGGTACTTCTAGCATTAGCGGAGGAACTTGGTAATTTTGTAGAATATGTTGGTGGTAAAGATTACGCGCATAAAATACTTGGACCTTTGGAAAATCTTGCGGCCGTTGAGGAAACTCTTGTTAGGGAAAAGGTATTATTTTATCATCGATTTCATTAAATAATTATAAATATTAACTCAATAATGATATTTTAATGTTATATTCAATAGGCTGTTGAGTCTTTGACTAAAGTTGCTGTAGTTCTCTCTCAACAACAGATTGAAGAATTTTATATACCACTAATTAAACGCTTAGGTAGTGGTGATTGGTTTACCAGTCGTACTAGTGCTTGCGGTTTGTATGCAGCAGGTTACCAGGCTGCAACACCATCATCACAAGATGAATTACGAGCAATGTTCAAACAATTATGTCAAGATGAAACGCCAATGGTTAGAAGGGCTGCTGCTGGTAATTTGGGCGTAAGTTTTGACTGACTTAGATTTGACGCAAATTTTCTTTTTTTCCAATGAGAATGGTGTAGATTAATTAAATAAATCGATTACTCATTTCGAATTGATACAGAAATTTGCGAAAAAGATTCCGAAAGAGCAGGTTGTTTTGGACATTATTCCATTGTTTAGTAAGCTCGCACAAGATGAACAAGATTCGGTGCGTTTACTGACCGTTGAAGATTTGGTTGCGATCGCTGAAGTACTTTCTAAAGAAGAAAGCAAAACTTATCTTTTGCAAACTCTAAGGAGTATGGTTTCAGATAAAAGCTGGAGAGTTAGATACATGATAGCCGAAAATTTCGTCAAGGTGAATTTTTGTATAATTATATATTAGATGACTGGTTAATTTTGTTAACCATTACCGATATTCACCTTGTATGTTGAAATAGATAGCAAAAGCTGTTGGTGAAGAAGTAACGCGTGATGATTTGGTATTAGCATTCGTTCATTTACTTAAAGATAATGAAGCAGAAGTAAGAACTGCTGCTTCCGGTCAAGTTCCAGGTATGTTATATTATTATTAATTTATATTTACAAATAGTGGTCTTAATATATATATAAATTATACATTTTTAGGGTTTGCCCAAAATATCGATAAACAAACGATTTTATCGCATATTTTACCATGTGTTAAGGATTTGGTTACAGACACATCACAGCACGTTCGAGCTAGTTTAGCTACTCAGATTAGTGGACTAGCTCCTATTTTGGGCAAAGAAGCGTATGTAACTAATTATTAAACGAACTTCTTGTTCTTTTGTTTCCTTTTTAAATAACCACTTTTTTTTTTGTATCTTTATTCTTCCATAGTACAACCGAACACTTGCTACCATTATTTTTGCAACTTTTGAAAGATGAATTCCCGGATGTCAGATTAAATATTATATCAAAATTAGAACAAGTAAATGAAGGTAAGATGTTATTAATAATTATAATATAGTTTCTAATATTTACCGTATCTCATCCTTTTGTAATTCAGTTATCGGGATTGAACTTTTATCACAGAATCTCCTCCCAGCCATAGTTGAATTGGCTGAGGATAAGCAATGGCGTGTTCGCCTTGCAATTATTGATTATATTCCTTTACTTGCTAGTCAATTAGGAGTTGAATTTTTTGACGAAAAGTTAGGAAATCTGTGCATGTCTTGGTTAGGAGATAACGTTTATTCCATTCGTGAAGCTGCTACAGTTAATTTGAAAAAATTGACTGAAGTATTTGGAGTTGAATGGGCAAAGACTACAATTATACCAAAAGTGCTCGTGATGGGAACCCATCAAAATTATTTATACAGAATGACAACCATTTTTGCTATCACGGTTGGTGATTTATATTTAAAATATATCTATTTTATTTTTTTTAATAATTAAATAGATCTAATCAAAATGTTCATAAAATAATTAGACAATGGCTCCTGCTGTTACTCCGGAAGTGATTAGAGATTATATTCTTCCTACAGTGAATAATTTAGTTTCCGATCCTATTCCTAATATCCGATTTAATGTCGCTAAATCGTATGAAGTTTTAATACCTGTACTTAAACAAAGTCCAGAAACCGTTATACTTTTGGATTCACAAGTAAAGCCTGCATTGGATAAATTACGAGAAGATTCGGATGCAGATGTCAAATATTTTGCCGAAAAGGCATTACTTGCGGGTATGTAAAATTGGTTATACATATTTATAAGTTATTCAAAAATATATATTATATATTCTTTTATCCTTGTAGGTTACCAATGAGCAGCTGTGACAAGGTGATTCTATTTTTATTTAAAAGAATCAAAGGATTTTTTTTT